ACACTGCTACATTTATTTAGGCTACGTCCTAGGTGTAATAGTTTTCCAGTGTATTAAATATACAGATTGAAAATTTTGTAAATTTTAGTGTGGGCTCGGGCTAGTGGCCCGCGACGATCTCCATGTTCAACGTTTTGGCCCGCGAGCAAACTTAGTTGAATAGCCCTGATGTAGATGGTCTTTTGCAGAACGTCGATATCATCACGGTCTGCCTGAAAAAAAGCTCTCCTGTCTCGTGTACTTTCTTTTTCGAGGAGTCACTTAAATTCTGTGCCCATATTCTTATTGGTAGGCCATTGATCCTCCTTCCTGGTACCATGCCATCTTTCCAATCAGCGATGGGGGATCATAAGAGAGGAGATGGCACTCAACCCTATCTTATTCACTCATGTATTGCTTGCAAAAATAGCATACAAACATATTACATAATTTATACACTAAAATAACAAACAATGTATCTGCTGGATCAGAAGAACAGTGCTCTGTCTGCCTGTCGGAGCTTCCCACCTAGACCAGCTGCCAACTAAGGCTATCAGATGGATCTGCTCTGCCCAAAACAACGCTTACTAAAGCTTTGCATGTTGCATTTCCTCGTCCTAGGATAAGTAAAGCTATTTTCCTATCTAATACAATCCTTCGCCGCCGGAATTAGTAGGTACAATGTGGGATGTCATAATTGGTATATGTCGTCCAACACTCGGCGCTAACAGAGACGATAGAATTGACAACTGTTATAAGGACAATCAGTCATTAGCATGTCCTTTGCGAAACCTTGCTCCCATAACAAGCTTCCTGAAAATTCCACAATCACCGGCAAGATGTCCCGCGTCCGATAACCCATCTGGAAATCCTCACACATCCTGTTCCCATCTTCTCTTCTGCCTTCCTCTTTCTCTCATCCCGGGTATATACCCCTCCATTATTGTTACCTCTAAACTTTCTTGACGTTTCAAGTGACCAAAATATTTCAATTTAATGTATTGTTGAGTTGAGTCAAGAACTGACATCACAGCACTCGGGGCATTCATATGCGTGATCCGTTCTCATCTTCAGCAGCCAGCGCAGAATTTCAATACTGATAGTACCGGTCACAATCTGGTTAAATATCCGTCTTGCCTTTCCTCTGAGTGTAGTGAGCCGGCCAGACCCTCTGGTTATATCCAGGTGCCTCATTCTCTCCAGGCAATAATAATCTTCTTTCTCTACTGATTCTGTTGCTTGTTCCCAAAGGGCTTTGACCACATCTGGCTTGTCATGTATCAGTTCACCACCAAGTTGTGCGGATCCAGCCAATCTGTCTGCCTGTTCATTACCCACCTCGCCTGCATAGCCTGGAGAAAAGATCAAAAGTATGCTCACTACTCTTGACTTTTCCAGTGAAGCTTGCAACTCTGCTGGAATGCATCCCTGTCTTGGCCTTTTTCAGCATGCTTTCAGTCTGTTACAGTTACGACATGTGTGTGCATCTCGTTTTCTAGCCACCGGAGAGCTGCAGTTACCGCCTCCACCTCTATTCTCATGCTAGATGTTGTGGTGTCATATGCTAGGCTGTCTTGCACTAAAGATTTTCCATTGGCTTTTGCTACGAACTCCCAGGAACTTCTCTTTTCTCTCAACACTGAAACATCTGTATAGAAAATCAGATCACCTGGGCGTGAATTGTCGTGCATCAACTGTTGGATTTCAACCCCTGTAGCACACAGTGGCCAATCTCTGCACACACATGGCCCAATGTTGTCATAACCATACACAGGTAAGACTTACTCCTACTCCTCTCCTCGCCCAATGTTCTCAGGCATGCATACTTGTCTTTTTGTGTCTTCTGCTTGAGCCATCTACCATTTTCCCCTTTTCAGCCTCTGACCCTTGCCTGCAGCCAAAGTATGACTTAGCCTGTAGTTATTTTAGCCTATCTGCAATAGTCGGCAATGCAAGAATGTATCACATACACAAATGGGGGTGTCTCTTTTACAATCCAGGATCAGTCGCATACTTCATTCTGTATGCGCTCCAGTTTCTCTAGCTGACTCTTCGAGACAGTGAGTAGCCCCGATCCACAATCAATCAATGAGATGATTAAGTGCTGGTAAAGTGTGAACAGCATTCTCTGCTCCATATCGAAGGCTCCCATAATCTTTAGTGCATTTAGACCTTTTTGAGCCCTAGTCACAACCCCCTCTATGTGATCCCTGAGAGACAAACTTCTGTCAACGATGATTCAGCTCTTGTACAACCCAGGATCAGCCGCATAGCTTCATTCTTTATGCGCTCCAGTTTCTCTAGCTGACTCTACGAGACAGTGAGTAGCCCCGATCCATAATCAATCTTAATATGATTAAGTGCTGGTAGAGTGTGAACAGCATTCTCTGCTCCATGTCCATCCAGGTGTTTCCAGGCAGGCAATCCTGCTCGTAGAAACATTGAATAGTAAAGGTGAAATTGCATATCACTGTGGCAGTCCTGGAGCACTTTACCAAAGGTGTTTTGTAGGGTTATGATCCTAAAGCTCCCGAGTTTTGAATGATTCTTGACAGGCTTAGGAAGTGGAATCAGGTAGCTGTGCATCCACTCTCCTGGGACTGAAGCTGTCTTAATGCTTTGGTTGAAGCAAGCAGTCATCTTCAACAGGTCTGCATCACTCATGTCTTTTATGTGGGAATATCTAACCCCGTCGGGTCCGGGTGCTGTGTCTTTCGCAGTGTCTTCATAATGTTTGTTTTTTAAGGTGGCTGCCGGATCTTCTCTAACTCTATCTCTGTTATCTCCATTATTGTGGTCTGTCTGGGAAATAAACCTCTTCAGGAAAGCCTCCCTCTCTCTTTGTCTGTAGTTAATAGCATGCCGTCATCTCTATCAATTGCTCCTACTACGCTGCGTCGATCTTTCTTGAAAGCAATATATCACTTCGTACAATTTTACCTTCACAAGGAAACACACATACAACAGTCCCACGATGACAGCTTGACAATGACAACCTTCTACGTCCAGTCTTGACCAAAAATATCAGACCGAACTGGTAGCTATGTTTTGTCTCGGAACTCACAGTCAAATCTGGTTTAATCATTCACTTGTGACTTGATTCATTTTGCAAGCACTTTCTCCACGCCGTCAGACACACCGTTCCTGGATCCCAAAACAAGACTGACCCTTCTCGGTCATTTTTGGCTTAAGTAGTCTTTCTCTCCCACGTGTTTCTCAATAACTGACCCACGTAATACGTGATCTATTTCATTTTGCACGCCCTCGTTAATCCGCACGCTTGCCTTGCATTCAAACGGGTATCTCACTTCTTCCTTAACCCTTTTTTTACCCGAACTGAAGTACCTAATTTTTGCTCAGTATCTAGCCTCATTATTGATGCACACATAAATTATCAGGAAAAATGACCCCTACATCACCCCCCCCCCCCCAAGTTTTACATATTCTTGTACCTGGGTGTTACCAATATATTTATGTCTTCATTGAATATATGTTCATTTCGAGACTTTAGATTGTAAAGATTCATTTTCAACACGGTTTTGCTAAACCTCCTGGTTGCAACACATTTTATTGTTTGCACATGTCAATTCAAACTGTCCTCTTTTAGGCTTTCCTATGACTGAGAATACCTTGTTGAGATCTTTACCCCAGACATTCCCTATTTAATGCGTAAGACAGAAATCTGGCTCCACAGGAATCCTTGCCGGGTCTAAAAGTCGTTATCACGCCGAACAACACCCTTAACACTCCAGATTTATTGCGGAAGTCCAAACATTTGGCTCTAAAACCGAAGCGTGACCCCATAAGGTCCCACTCTCGCTGTTCAAATGCATGCAAGGCTCTGTGATGACAGAGTAAACTGTGTAGACAGACGGACTCAAGAGCAAGAAAGTCTTGCTGCGCCATGGTGTTCCCCTAAGGTGGTGTCCTGTCCCCAACACTGTTGCTTGTCTAAATTAACAACCTTATTGCTGCCCATGGTATTAAAGCTGCGATGTATGCTGACGACCTGGGACTATGGTAAACACACGATATGCAACAGTGGCCACACAACTGCTCCAAAGATCCATAGATGCATTGGCTGCATGGGCTGATAAATGGTGTGTCAGCATTAACATAGACAAGTGTAGCACCACTCTTTTCACCATCTCCACAAAACAAAAATCAGGCGTCATTCAGATAAATTTAATGCCACTAAGAGAGGATAAATAGCTTACATCCCTAGAAATCACGTTTGATAATAGGTTAGCATGTAGAAAACACTTGAATAAGGAGGCAATCAAAGCCAGGAGGAAGATAACTATCCTGAGAAAACTAAGTAGAACAAAATGTTCATTGTATATGGGACTGTCTGGGGGTGGGGGGGGGGGGAGGGGTATGATCTGTTGTCTCAGGTGCCAATCTACATGTGCACATGGCTGATTTTGAATTTTAAATTGTGTGTGTACATAGGCCTATGGCTGCGAATCGACTGTGTCCTGTTCTAAGGCTTGGGATAATAACTTGTTCTGGTCTGTCCATAAAATGGTAATCGTCTTGTGCCGGTTTTAGTGGCTTTCTGATTGATTTTATTATTCTCTTCTTTTGCTGATAGAGACTGGTACATCAGTTTGTTCTTTATTTGCACCTTCCTTTACTAGTTAGTTTATCAGCTCTTTCATTTCCGGAAACTCCACAGTAAGATGGTATCTAATATTAATCCGAATTAAAGTAATATTATTCCTCAGTCAGTTATATTCATGTTATGTATGATATGTATAAGTTGCAAAGCAGTTGCAGTTGAATGATCTGTTTTAATGTGCTGCCATTATTGAAGTAAAAATTGTCACCCCTCTCCCCCCCCCCCCCCACCCCCCAGTACTGTTGTTGTTTTTTTTCGGCAAGGATCATAATACCAAAGTGTACGAAAGTACCAACTTCGGCAGCCCTGATTGCAATGACCTGTGACCTGTGACTGACAATACGGGACTTTTGACGTTGGAGATGGAAAGTGTTTGTGTCGCAGAAGAAGGCAGATCAAAATGTTCTCTCTGTTTTCTAACTTATACTGTACGCATCTTTGTAAAATTCAAGTCATAAAAATTATCTAACTCTCGGCAAATGTAGAGTTTCAAAACAATGTTTTCCCGTAATGAATTTAAATAATAAATTGTTTGTATCCGCATTATTTAAATGTAGAGTTTATCAACTTTATGACTTTATGGACGTGATAATAATCATCACTGATACTACTGATATTCTTATATTATTATTATTAATATTAATTATTATATGTTATAAGTATTAGTATTACTATTAATTACTATTAATATTGCATACAAGCTTTTTTAGATATCGTGTATCGATATTTAAATTGTTTATAAAATATATTTTCTTCTTGGCGTTCACCGACTGAATGTAAACTCAAACTGAACTCCAGTTGAAAGTTCGGCTCTCCTGGCCGGTTATTCGGAGTTCAGTCCCTTGGCTGCAGTGCAATTACGGAGTGGAAAAGAGGGAACGAAACAAATTACATAATTACTGTGTGTTGGTGATAGACAGCGTGCAGAGCCCTGCTGTCATCATAAGGCTAGTGGTAGGGTTAGGTTTGGGCTAGTGGTAGGGTTAGGTTTGGGTAACACATGTAACGTCGAGTGCTTACCCACAATGACGGCCGCTATATATGATAATTTTGACACAGGAGTTGCGAATAACAGCCGAAAATGTGCTGCTTGCGGCAGTGGCTCTAGCAGCCATGTCGACGGCACTTTGTTTTGTGATTCGTGCCTTCTCCACTCCGTAATTGCACTGTAGCCAGGGGACTAAACTCCGACTAACCGGCCGTAGTTTAAAGGAGAACCAAAAGTTCTGGTTTGGTTGTTCGTTCACTTCTGAACTTTGGTCTTGTTGCAGAACCTGAGTTTTGCGCGCACATCTGTTTGACGGCTCTGCTTTTATGCTCTCTGTTGGTTCATGGCTTTTCTGGCGGATGCACTACTACTACTTCTTCTTTGTGTTGACTGGCTGTAAACTCCTGAGTGTTGCATGCACATCTGTTTAGTTAACAGATCTGGTTTATTTGAATGCAGACTCTTGGGTCCTTGCTTCTCAGGCAGATGCACCTCACACTTCAAAGGATGCCCCCAAGTTAGTCCACTCCTACCCACGACATGCTTGTTGGGAATACAGTGGGTCTACTCTTGTATTTCCCACAGTGGGGCTTTGGGAACCCACTAGAGAACTCTTACTTTTAATTAGTTAGCTTTTGTTTTGTTTTGTTCTTCCACAGTAGGGCCCCGGAACCCACATGCGGAATATATTATGTTAATTCTTCTCCAGCAGAATCAGTGTTTAATCAGTCATTACATTTTTTTCAGTTTTAGATAGTATTATAGACACTATAGCTTTCATAATTTGCAGTATGACTGGCGGATTCATTCTCTTTCACTAAAAAAAAATGAGTCAGTCCTGTTAATATTTTATATTGTAAAAAATAAAAGAATCTGAAGTTTGCTTTGGTGCTCCACATCCACATGTCACGGAATCGCTAAGAGTAAGAAAGACCCAGACAGTGAAGGAGTTTGCGTTGAGTTTATATTCTGATCTGCATGTTTCTGTTTCTGTCAAACTTATTAAAGCATTCACTAATCATGTTTTGGTCTGTATTGAGTGTGTGTTCATTTTATTCCCCCCAGTTAAGCTCCATAGATTGTTTTAGGAGTGCATTTTGTTCTTTACATCTCTGGAACTGGTGGGGCTGCACTTCCTGCAGTCAGGGGCCAACACAAAGTATGGATCTTAAAAGTTATTTTATATAGGATATTGTCCTGTTTGGAGCATGAGATGCCTTGGTCAACTGATTTCAAGTCAGTGGATATGGAGATTCCCCCCCCCCCCCTTTTCCACCCCACTTAGTTCAACTTGACTACTGAGAATAGATAACATTTGAAGGAAAGGCTCTTGCCTCTATTCTGATGTTTGTACTCAGTTTTGCCGCTGCTGCGGAGTGTTTCCGTTTTGACATTGAAATATGTAATTTAATGTTGGCTACTTTCCTTTCGTGACATTTTTAGAAGATCCATTTCTGAACATAGAATAGGCATATCATTTAGATTGTTGGAGATATGCTGGTGGCAGCATTGAGTTATGTCAATCAAGAAGAGAATTGGCTTTGTAGGGCTGTGTCTCAATTTTACTGACTTGCTGAAATGGCTGTATCTTAACTAGCAGATCACTTTTACAGAAAGAATATTCTATAAGTAATGTCATTGTTAGAGAATGGATACAATTTGTACACAACACCTGTTAAAGGGTTTTCAGCATTAGGCCCTCCTTCTGCGGTGTCATTAAGAAAGATGGCAAAAACTTTCTTTTTGTTTTTGTTTTCTTGAAAGGCATCTTAGTGACTTCTGTTATGTGGGCTAGTTGGTCTTCTGTCGTGTTTGTGTTGGGTTATGTAATGTTATCACAATTGACGTGACTGCACATTGGGCATTTCCATGCATACTCAATCCTCTGATGCAGCAGCCACTCCATGGTACTTCTACTATTTGTTCCCATAAGAAGGCAACATAGACATGCTTCACCATGCTTTACTCCCATGTCACGCAATTGTTTTAGTGTCAGAGATACGTCATTATCCACTAGCCCAGTCCATACAGTGTTGATGATATGTGCTTTTTCCCACATGCGTTGGCGCATTGCTTGCCAGTTGGTCCGCTCGCTCATTACCTTTAATGCCAGCATGACCAGATGTGTAGATCTAGATAAGAAAGATTAGGTGTGATTTCTGAATGCTTTCTACCCATTCAGAGTGCATACCGCCTGTTGTTATCATTTGAAGCACGTTCATGTATTGAGTGGAGTAATGTGTTGGTTTTGTCTATCCATGGGTTGTTTTTACACAGCTCATAAACTTAACAGGTCTATAGTTTTATTTGTAGTCCTTATAATTTCTTGGCTTCAGCACATGCTGAATGTATGTCTCCTTCTGAGTGGATGGGACAAGACTTGTGTACCAGTAGTACTAGAAGATCTCAGAGCAAATACTTTTTGCCAGTAAGCTGTTTTAGGAAATCATTTGAGCTGCCATCAGATGCTAAAACATTTGTTGTTTTTCATTTTCTGAAACCATTTTCTGTTTCCTTCATGGTAAATTTTGTTTTTATGGTGTCTGTTCGAGTTTTTGAGTTTGAGTTTGTGATAATATATCTGGATAATCTAATAATTAAAATTAGCTATTGATCAATTTATATACCTTATTTTTTTAATTTGCATGCAGTATAAGTTTTACAGTAATTTACTCAGCTTGGCACTTCCTTAGGGCCTGCATTTGCAAATATGAATAGATTTCGCAGCATAAGACATCCAGTAGCAAAATATGTTCAATTGCTATCTTTTGGCGGCGCACAAACACTGCTGGCTCAACCATTTATGTATACTGAATCAAAAGAGGCTACTAGATCAGAAAACAGTCATCATCTCCCTAATAGACCTGTATATTCATCATCATCAGAAGCACTGGTAAATATTATGTATCACTGCAGATACATATACATTGTTGATTACACGTGTACATTAAAGATATGTTCACCGCTTTCAAACATTTTATATTTAGTTCTTTTTTCAGAACTATGCACCTCAGATTTCAGTTTTTGATGACATTAAATCTGTAGGCCAGGAACCACAACACCCATACAACAGCTTTAGTACTGGTTGTTATTGAAGTTTGTAGTCTGCAGCACTCAAAAATGTGAATCCTATATGTGCAAATTCCGGTAAGCTCCGTTCAACTGCTGGGCGAAATTGGGACCCTGGACAGTACAAAGTCACCTGAAGTTCAGACTGGGCTGGGATGTTGGTACTGACTGCACCCACCTAGTGAGTAGATGTAGTGAGTTTGATTACATTTACAAAACACAAGCTTTAGATAATTATTTGGGGGCCCCACAAAAAATGCATTTGTTAAAATACTAATTCCTTCAAAGTCAAGAGTGCATTTGCCGGAGTGGCAAGGAACAACCATACACACAAATTAGCCAGTAAAACATGTGTACACATAAAAATCAGGTCCTGGCACTAAGCCAAAGTCCAAATGGATGAACCACTAGGACTTTCCGCTGAGCTTACAGCTGGTGAACAAAGAAAAAAAAGTATCATTGTTATGCCATAATAACCTTATTATAATGTCACTTGGCTGCTGTGGCTAACTGAACAGAACCATGTTTATCATGGTCAAAGTGAAGGAAATCAGTTAATACTTTGCTTCTTTTGTACTTAATAATTAATTCCCTTACTTTAAGAGAATTATTTAATTCATAAAGGTGATTACAAAAATGAATATGATTTATTTCCGTGATTTCACAGCCGCAGTGACAAAGTAATCATTGCGGTTTTTTCTCTCGGTCATAAGTTTTAAAGCTCTGGATTTTTTTTTAAAACTAACCAAGACTTTAAATTCTTCTTCTTCTTGTTCTTTTCTTCTCATTACTTGGAGTGGAGTTTCAGAGAATTATAAGGATGCATAGTGTGACACTGTGAGCTGTAGATTTCATTCTAAATGCTTTTCGACTCTCCACCATAGTTTTTATTGTGATTTGCAGATTCAGACAATGGCAAATGGCCTGTTGCCATAGAACTGATGGTGCCTTATGCGATTAATTGCATGTACAGGTGCTGATCTGTTGTAACTACTCCTTTCATCAATTTTGAGCTGCATTTCTAGTGTCAGACTGTTTTGGCACTTCTGATGGCTGCCTTATGCATTTAATGCATGTGTATGCTATTGGATTTGCTTTGACTGCAGCTTGTGTCAGTTTTTCCACAAGGGACAGTGATGGGCATGCTGTGTGGTTTATGTTGGCAAAGAAACGGAGCAACTATTTGATGACCCATTTGCTATGAAGTTGAAACTGTTATTACCTAATTATAAGGATGTATTTTAATTCTTAACTGTTACTTTGTTTAATTCTGTCATGTCTGCTAATGTACCTTTTATTTTTATAGTAAAAGCCATTGTGCTGGCTTTCATTTGAAAACACTTCCCAGACACACACAAACTTTTGTCTATAAGCAGGTTTTAAATGCAACCAGCTTTTAAAAAAGGTGATTAGTTTCTGGAAGATAAATACTTCTTTGAACTTATTTTGAACAGACCTTTGAACCAGATGACCCACGACTTAGAAGCAGTGAATGCTTGAAAAATGCGGCAGGCCTTGCAGTAGATTCTACCTCAGCAATTTTGTCTCAGACAGTGTATACAGTTATAAATATTGAAGAGCAATATGTTGAGGTTTGTAATAACCATTGTTATATCTTACATGCATCTAGGTTAGATAAAACTGAACATGAGCTTCAGGTATGAGCAAATCAAGTATGATGGAACCTTGTTACTCGAATTATAATTCATTCCTGATGTGTTCAGAAAGTGAGTTTCCTAAAAACTGACACTATTTGCTTTTTATTTCCACACACACAAAAAATAATTTGTGAAACTTATAGATGGTAAACCAGGTTCCAGTACTGCTCTTTACTTCATTCGCTCTGTAACGAATAATGCCATATTCCGTGAGAAAAAATCGGTAGCTTTTTTTGTTTCTGTCAGATAAGATTCTTGATGCAAGTTATGTTAGTATTGTACTCATCTGAAATTCCAAATTCTACAGTTCACCTTGGCATTCCATAGTATGATTTTAAGTTTCTAGATCAGTGATTTTGATTCTCTCTTGTTGGTCTGCAAGTCCCAGAGCTATCAGTCATTGAAATGAATCCCTTTGGTTCTGGGGAACCAGCAGTTTCATTGCTTGTCATTTGTTCACAGGACCTGAACCAGTACCAGTGCCTGAAGCATGGTTTCATGCATTATCATCATCAGGTGCCTTGCCGACTGGCATGGGCGATCATGCCTCTCCATAATCCACGATCTCCTGCAGCATGTATCAGTTCGTGTGCCGACATACCTTCATGCCATGCAACAAGACTGTCAAGAATCTTCTCTCGTTGTCTTCCTCTATCCCTCCTTCCACAGATCTTTCCAGTGGTCACAACATGTTCTATTTTCCCTCTTCTCATAACATGGCCGCAAAATGATGACTGTCTCCTTCTGATGTGTGTGAAAAGTTGTCTTCGGGTTCCCGCCTCTTTCAAAACCTCTTGGTTGCTCTTTTTGGCTGTCCAAGGTATTCTAAGCATTCTTCTGTAAAACCACATCTCTGAGGCCTCAAGAAATTGTTTGGCCTGCCTACCGATTGTCCAGGATTCACAATGGTTTCATGCATGACTGTTATTAGATGCTGCAATATGCATCTGATTATACACTGTAAATATAATAGGACTTGTATCTCTCATTATTTATGCATTTAACATTACATTTGCTATGTGGAAATTAAGCAGATGGGAGGGAATAGTAACCAGCCATTGAGGTCTTTTTTGGAAATTGGGTCATCCCGGTGTCAAATTCTGCATAACGCCATATCATGATTTAAATATGATCGCTTTCAGTAACATTTTCATAATTTCATTAACCAAACGTCACAAGGTGCCATGTCAGGAAAGTATGAAGCAGAGAAATATGTTTCAAAGTTAAAATCTTGACCAGATGGGAAGAATAGGGAGGAGAATTGTTATGATGAAACTACTAAGTTCCTTTTGCCCACAGATCAAGTTGTTTGACACAGGATCATGGAAGTGGAAGATTACCTCCTTCCGGGGGGAAGATGACCATGGAGGGGGGGGGGGGAGAGATTACCATCTTCTAGGCGGTACTCTTTAATGTTTGGCATTGTAATGCTACTCTTCCCGCACCCCAGTCTCCTCCTTCTCAAGAATCAAAGAATAGTATGTATGACTCTCACGTCACTCTGCATCTGCCTTTTCTCTTTGGCCCTAAGATATCTTCGCTGTTGTGACTGCACATGCCTGTAAACCATAACTTATCACTAGTGGTTAGTGTTCAGGATATTTATGCTGCCATTTGCATAGTCCACCATGCCATGCCCAACTTCCAGAATGAATTGCTTCTGCTCCATCGACACCTTTGATACAGATTTTATACTCTCTGTGAGATCAAATCATCCATAAAAAGCATTCGGAATCACTGCTTATCTCAACATCATCCACTAGCTCTTGAATAGTGACCTGATGGTTCAGCATGACCAAGATCAAGACAGCCTGTCCTTTCATAAATGAAAGCCTCATATGCTTTCACTTCACAGACTCAGTCGCAGACAGACTGCCAACAAGTGATAAGCTCAATTAATAGAAACATCTGCAGTCAACTCGTCAACAGAAAGAATGTTTCCTTTTCATCATCATCATGTTCCCTGCAAAGGCGCTCATGCATCTCCACAGATCACGATCCCTGGATGCCTGAAACAGCTTTCTTGATGATATCCCTCCATGCCATCATTTCAGCCCATCCAGCATCATCTCTCTCTTGGTCTGCCTCTACCCCTCTTTCCACTGATCTTTCCTGTTGTCACAATGTTCTCCAATGTATGTTCTCCAATGTCTCTCTTCTCATTGTGTGGCCAAAGAACAGTGTTTGTCTCTTTCTTATTGTTGTATATAGAGATCTACTTATATTAGCTTCTTTCAAGCAATCGTTGTTAGTTACTCTGGCCGTCCAAAGTATTTGTAACATTCGTCTCAAAAACCACACATCTGTTGCTTCCAAATTCTTCCTAATTTGTTCACTGGCCGTCCAAGATTTGCTGCCATACAGCAGAACAGGTTCTATGTAACATTTTAGCACCCTCTTTCTGACATAAATGAAAGCGATTTTTTGCATAAGATATTTTTCATACTCTGAAAGGCAGCTTTCACTTGACCTATTCTGCTCTTAATCTCTGTCATACATTTTCCATCGGATGATATGATTGTTCCCAGATATTTGAATTTATTGACTTGGTTAAGTCTTTTTTCTTCAGTTGAGATATCACAACGTGGAGTTTTTTTTCTTCCTTGATATAAACATTGCTTCAGTTTTCCTAATATTCAATGATAGTCCTTTTTTAAGCACTTTCCATCCTCAAAATATCCAGCAGTTGTTAATCAGTTGCATTTTTAGTTATCAAAACTATATCGTCTGCATAACGCAAATTGTTTATAGTGAATCCTCCAACTCTTACTCCTGCATTCTCTTTAATTTCCCTCAAAATTATTTCACTGTATAGAGAGAAAAGGTCTGGTTTCCTTTTAGTTTACTGAAATATATGGCACTAAAGTAAGTTACATGTAATCATTTTGTAAAGTGATTTCTTTATCTTGGTGAAAGCTATAGGGTAACACAAAAATCTTGTGTCATTTATAATTCTCTTCACAGAACAGGCACAGTATGGTTGAATTTTTTTGGCAGACATATATAGTTGGGCACCTCTCTCATAATTTACTCATATTAACATGGTGCCATGCATTTGACATGGAGGAAACATTCACAAATTCATAATGTATGAATATCTTAGGCTTAGATATCTGTAAAGAAGAAGTCTTGAATTCTTTTCTTTTAGACACTTAAATATTTAATATTGTTTTGTCAGTTGTTTTCTTGATACATTGAAACATTTGATACTCTGTGTTGTCAGCTAGTAAACCGCCTCATCCTGTTACTGGAACTACAGCTGCAAGTGTTGGGTCTTGGTGCAGAGGAAGAAAAGGTAGCAGATCTTATTCTGCAAACACGACATGAAATAAGCCAAGTTTACAAGCGCAAGCAGGTACAATAAAATTACATACATTAATAATGTTAAGAGGAGCGACTAAAAAAAAAAAAGTAAAGGACCCTTTCCACGCCTTTAGGCGTATAGGGCATATAGGGCTAGACCTATATTTTTATAGACCAACGGCACAAGATGGGTGATGTGGTCAGCATCACGCCGGCCGCCTCTACTTCCCGGGATTGCACCCGGTACCCACTCAAGGCTGGGTCGACCTGGGAGCCAAGGTCATTTTTGAAGAAAAGTCCGTCTCCGCCAGGGAGCGAACCCACGACCTTCCGATCCGCGGCGCGCGTCTAGCCGCTCTGCCACGGCGACTCCCAGGAGCGACTAGCCGAACTGTTAATAATGTTGGGCTCTCAATGAGGATGTATTGAATCCTCAATCAGGGTGTATATTTTTTTCTGTCAGGGGCACAAATAAAACCATAACCTGTGGTCCATTGCGACAGCAGTAGCCGTGCAGCTCTAAATCTTCAGGCTCAAAAAACCCCTGCCTGCATCCAAAAAGTAGTAAATACAGACAGTAATGGCATTTTTTGTTTTTGCTGTGGTCATGTTAAGCAGTTATTTGTGCTGACAACAAATACAAGTTAAGAACTAACTCCTCGCTTTCTGTTTTATGATCCTTACTTTAGATGTTTGTTGGTGAAGCATATTATGAATTGTGAATTAAAAATCAACAGGACTGCACTTGGGACATTCCCATAAGTGCTCCATCCCCATCATCAGCAGTGAGCACAGAGTTATAGTTCCTATGTTACCAATAACAGTCTGATTGTTCCAGTGCAAAGCATTCTAGTTTTATTGTTCTCAGGCTGCCTCAACATGTATCCTATTCAGTGTCTTTTCTTCACCTCTTGGTCCACTGGAGCTTGCTTAGTTCTCTCTGAAAGCTCTACCTTAGTGATTCTATCATACCATTTAATTCCCTCTATTGTGTGCAGGGACCAGTTAATGAATGTTTGTAGTTTATTAGTAATTGCCTTAGTTGTTCTCCATGTTTCCGTTGCATACATCAGTACTGATTGGACATTAGAATTAAACATTTTAAGTTTAATTCCAGTTTTAATTTCCTTTGACCTCCACAAATTCCCCAGTGCTGTGAAAGCTCCTCTTGCCTTTTGTATTTGTATTTTGATGTCTGTCAGTTCCCCCATCTTTATCTACATTACTGCCCAAATAGGAGTACAACTTTACCTCTTGGAGTGGGTGGGATACCATTAAGAGCAACAACATTACTATTCGCCTGATTTATTCTCATTATCTTTGTCTTTCCCTTATGGATTTTTCAGACCTAGCTATTGGGATCTTGCTTGAAGTATATTTAATTTGTCTTGCATATGATTCCCTGAGGGGGGCAGAAGAGAAATATGATCAGCGAAGTCCAGACCATCAAGCTGTTCTGTAGAGGCCTACACTTAATTCCATTGCTGGTCTTAGCAGTTGAGATCCTCATAATTCAGTCTTTTGTTTATTAAAAATATGAGAGGTGACAAGAAACAACCCTGTCGCACACCTGTTTTTATTTCAGATGTATCTGTTAGCTTTCCATCATGAATAACTCGTCATTTCATGTCTTCATGTGTTGCCTTTACTAAGTTAATCATTTTCTGTGGGATTCCATAGTGCCCTATTAATTTCCAGAGTGATTTGCTTTCAATGCTGTTGAAAGCTTTTTCATAGTCTATAAATCCATTGTAAAGTGGTCAATATGATATTGCAGCATAATAAATAAACATAAAGAAATACTATTTTATTCTGAAACATCTCCTGTGTCTATTTTATTTCTCTGCAATATTACAACTGGTATCTTATGTAGGTTTTCAATAGGAGAGTGTTTTTTGAATGCTTGTTTATTTTCTGTTCTGTTAGTGTCTGTTTCAAAAATAGTGGTTTCATCAGGTGTGATTTTAATTTGGTCTTGCGTTATTGTGTCATCGTGGGCATATATTTTTGTCTGTACTGAATTTATTCTGCACAGATGTTTGTGTGACTGCCACTGGTTGTCTCTCAGGAATATTTTCAATGCTGGTGACTGATTACTGTGCTTTTACACCAGGCCCATACACTGGAAGCACACGGACAAACAGGCAAATATATCACTATGGTCTGGAAAGAGTGATATAAAGGCAGCAATTAAAGGATCTTGCAGACATTCAATGCCCAGAGGAAAGGCAGGAAAAATAGATCATAAGACTGCACCTGGTACCAGTATTATTGTAACTGTGCTGTCTGCTGAAGATAGAGACACAGCGCTTAAGGCAGTGCCCCAAAGGCTGTGAAATTGACTTTAAACAGCAGTAGTAGTAGATTTTTACCACACCAGGATATCACACAAGTGATAAACACCCGATGACAAAAAATGGCACCATGTGGATGAGGATACCGTGGAGAGGTCCCAGAAACCGCGTTCAGCCATTAGACCGTGTTTGTGGTGGGGCCTCAAAATAAAGAAATATTGCATCTCGCAAGGAGATGAGAAAATTGTGATGTTATAAGCTTTAAATTAAACAAATGGAAACAGAACTAACGTCAGTTATAAGAGGAGTTTGTCATCATAAATATTCATCAGTGCAGATATACTTGAATTTTAAAAAAAAGAGCATTACAGGACAACCTCATGTATATGTAATATATATGTAATGATCAGAAATTTTCACAGCTAGCCCAAGGGATTAAATACATGAGATTGATTACATAGAAAATATTGTTAAATAACTTATTAGAGGCAGGTAACTGAATTGGTTTTTTAACGGTTACCCAGCTACGCAGTGTATAGTGTTGCAGAAACATATTGGCCTCAAAATACATGATTTTGATTATTTAAAAATAAATAAATATTATCATTAAGCTTTTCATTATTATTCTTTTTTTTGTATTATGATTTTTATCATCAGGATCTAGTCATCCTTTTTGACAGCGTTGAAAAGTTAGCAGTCACTACAGCTGAAGTTGCTTTTGCAGCAGGTAAACTGTGCTCACATAATTCATATGTGTGTATGCGTCTTTGTGTGTGCATGTGTGCTTCATAATGGATTCATGAGTGTTCTGTTTAGTTGCATCTGCATCTGAACTGTCTATTGTTCTTAAAATTGTTGAAGCATCAGTTATGGTAAATAGATTAAATTGTTTCATGTATTATAGTGAGAAAACCTGTAAACTATAATGAATAAATGTTTAGCACAAATTTGAAGATCTCTGATTCTGCTAAACTTTCTCCTGTTTTTGTATCATTGTTGTTGAATTGCCAGATACCTTCTTGCCGGGGGGGGGGGGGGGGGGGGGGTATGGTATGGTATGGTATGTTGAAAGTGATTCCTTGCTGCACCAACAGTTTCTGGAAATTTACTTTCTTATTCAATTTACTAAGCACTACTGAGTTGTTTCCCTTGAAGAAAAATAGAGAAGTGAATGGACTAGCGGCTTCAACTATATTTATCCCAAACGTCACAATTTCAACACGGTGGTGAGAGTCCAGAGTTACTATCGCAGGAGATGTGATCGTGGTAGTCAGGCATAAAAGATAGCCGACTGCATAATCTGCAATCATGGTAGTCAGTGGGTTAATAAACATTTCATTCCTGAGGGGTTAGGATTGGTGCAGGCCAAAACATATTTCACTTTCCAGATATAACACCATTACCACAGATTTCTCCCAAACTGGACATACTGTCGGGTATTTTGATGCACTCATAACAAACTGCTGAAACAGGGTCTTCACAAGCTTTGATCTGGGACAGGCCATAAATTATAAGTTTTCTAAAGCATCGCAGGCTAATAACTTTTGCGGCTAATGTTTGCTAGATGATGCATGGCTCCAAGACTGGGAAACAAAGGTTACTGAAATGTTGACAGTCTTCAAACTAGTTGTTTAAACAGAGTGTTGGAAGAATGTTGTAATGTTAGAAGATAGTTTTGTGAGAATGTTTATATTGACTGTTTTCAACAGGAAAATTGGAAATTGGTCACTGAACATAAAGCTTCGTAAACTGTACTTCATAAACTGTATTTCATAGATTAAGCATGTGTCTACTTAACTTTTGTTATTGATATGGCCACATATTAACATAGTATTTTTCCTCAAATGAAACTCTTTCAAAGTATAAAAGGTTTGGTTAACTGTTCTTAAAGGTGCAACCTATGCTTCTACCAGCATTGGTGAAAGATTGTACAGTGCAGTTCGTGAAATTCAGCAACTTCGAGCAACTTCTGATGAGGCAGATAAGAACTTGAGGTCAGTGGAGGTTCAGTCTATCGAAGTAATGACCAAGCATGAACAGAACAAAGAGGTACATGACAGAGCTAACAAAACATGAGACTCTTGGAATTATGTTTATTTCTTCACAACCTCATTTCCAGATAAATGCATTGTAAAAAGGGCAATACAGTTGGAATTATTTACTAGCAGTATCAGTGTTTTTTTTTTCCTTGAATCTTGTTCTGTTGATATTACATAAGAAAGTTAAGTAAAGGTCCCTTTCCCACACCTTTAGGCATATAGGGCTAGACCTATATTTTGATAGACCAATCGTCACAAGATGGGTGATGTGGTCAGCATTATGCCGGCCGCCTTTACTTCCTGGGACTGCACCCGGTACCCACTCAAGGCTGGGTCGACCTGGGAGTCGAGGTCATTTTTTAAAAGTCCGGCTCCGCCCTGTAGCTAACCCACGACCTTCCGAATTACATAAGATAGCTTACCTAATTTTTATTAGTGACAGAATTTCTTTTCTATTTTTAGAAAGTGTTGTTTCACTAACCACTATATCCAATTTTTTTTTTTTTTTTTTTTATGAGACTATTTTATGAGCATAACTTCTAAGCCACAAGGTTGATGGTTTAATCTCTCCAATAAAGCATGTGCCAGAGTAAAGCTTATAGTTAATAAGGCTAAAAGAGATAAATGGACAGAAACTTGCTATAACTTAGACCTTAGACAGAATGGAAATAAAGCATGGACTTTAGTTGAAAACCTCTCAGGAGAAAGTAGAAGGGTGAACCCAAAACCAGTGACGTATGTGAGTAAGACAATCACTGAAGACAAGAAGAAAGCAGAACATTTCATTATTTTGCCTCGGTTAACAGAGCAGGTAAGCTGTCAGAACTTGATAGAACACAGCTCTCTCAGTTGAAGAAACAAGAGAGAGCTCCAACGGCCAGCGACTCCCTTTTTGAAGATAAATTTAGCATAGATAAATTAGAACAAGCCCTGAAGAAATTAAAACCTAGAAAATCCCTAGGCCCAGATAAAATCCACAATGAAATGCTGCTACATCTTGGCCGGTCTGGGAGAGAAGTAGTTCTCAGGCTTATTAATAAAACTTGGAGGTCAAGCAAACTTCCAAAGGCATGGAGGAATGCATACATCGTCCCCATTCTTAAAAACAAAAAGCCTCCAGACGTCCTCGAAAGCTACCGCCCGATATCCTTAACATCATGCTTGGGCAAAGTTGCAGTAAAAATGATAAACAGGCGCTTGTATTGGTTTCTAGAGAGTTCTGGTGTTCTGTGCCATGAACAGGCAGGCTTCAGAACCAACAGCTGTACAGAAGACCAGCTGTTCAGACTGACACAAAGAATACATGATGGCTTCCAGAATAAAAAACACACAGTGGCCGTCTTTGTCGACCTTCAGCAGGCCTATGACAGAGTATGGAGAAAAGGTCTCCTGATGAAGATGATGAGCATAGGAATACATGGCAGATTGTATAACTGGGTGTAATACTTTCTGATAGATAGAACAATCCAAACTAGGATGCACGACGCAATCTCTTCTACGGAAGTCTTGGAGGAAGGCTTGCCACAAGGCTCATCATTGAGCTGTACACTGTTACTAATCTTTATCAATGACCTGCCAGAACAAATCAAGGCTGAAAAAGCCTTGTAAGCTGATGACCTAGCAATCTGGCAGTCATGAAAATGTGAAAAGTGGAGCCCAAAGACTAAATGGAGACCTTAGAAGACTGCATGAGTACTGCCAAAGATGGAAACTCAAGGTTAACTGTGCAAAGACGGTCTACACTGTCTTTACCAAAAGCCATCAACCAAGTGATGAAAGAAGAGCATCCTACATACCTTGGAGTCACACTTGACCGGCAGCTCAGCCTCAAGAACCATATTGAAAACGTAAGGAATAAGGCATTGAGGCTGTTACAGTTATTAAAGAGACTTGCAGGTACATCATGGGGATCGGACAAGGAAACTCTGAGGGGCTTATACCTAGGATATGTTCGCTCTGTAATAGAGTACAACAACTCACTGCTTACAACCTGCTCCAAAACTTAGAGACTCTTGACAGAGTACAAAATAATGCCCTCCTATTAATTTGCGGAGCTATGCAGTCTACACCAACTGCTGCATGTGAAATCCATACAAATGTGGAACCCCTCGGCTTGCGGAGAGAAAAAGCCACTTCAGAAATTTATGAAAGAAGCGTTAGAAAGAATTTTAACCATCCTAATAGACACCTTGTAGAAAACTGGGAATACAAACAAAGAATAAAGCACAAATCGGTTTTACACTGTTAATGAAATTCAGGACATATACCACCTCCCAGAAAGACGTCAGGGCATTCAGAATGTTGCAAGAAACCTACCACCACATGCTCGTTTTAAAACTCCAGAAGTCCGAATTAAATTGGTAGGCGAGGAAACCAAACAGTCCGACCCAATCGCTCTTATGAACTCATCACTAAAGACCATTGATTCTTACCCCCAAGAATGGATACATGTTTATACTGATGGATCTGCATTTAAAGCTACCATTAAAGCAGGTTAATGAATCTACATAGGTTATCCCGATGGATCTGCTGAAGAGATTTTTGATGCATGCGGGGAATTATGGTCAAATTTTGAAGCTGAAATAATTGCACTGGAAACAGCAGTATACCACCTAAAGACTGTAATGGATGTTTACCCTTCAAAGGCCCAAAATATTGTCATCTTCACAGATTCAATGTCTGCCCTTCAAGCTCTGGGGGGCAGTGAATGCTGCAGAACTGACATAGCCAAGATAATCTTGGATGCTGACCATCTTATTACCTCATACAACATCAGAATAGTGATGCAGTGGATTCCAGGCCACTCCAGCACACCAGGTAATGACAGAGCTGACAGATTGGCAAAGAAAGGAGCGACACAAGAACAACCACCTACAGCGACAACCCTACAGACAGCAAAAACACTTATAAGAGCTATAAACAAAGAGACTTGTTTGAACAGATGGGCCATGGGAGACACTGGAAGAGAAGCTGGCCCTGATCCTGATGACAGCATTAACCATCTAACAAGAAGGGACCAGGCCACCATCTTCAGACTTAGAACGCAACATACTCCACTCAATGGACATCTAAACAGAATACAGCCACAACACTCCCCAGAGTGCCAGCTATGTAACTTCCCCTATGAAACTGTTTAACACCATCTCTTTGAGTGCTCAAAACTCAGCGAGACTAGAAGAATGCTACTCCCTCCGAGACAGACATGTGGAACACCTTGTACGGAGAAAAAGAACAGCTTGTGGAAGGAAACATGCAAATTCCACTACATGGCATTGGGCCAAAGGGCGAAAGCTCATGCGCCGCTGGATCGATAACAACAACAACCTTGCGGTTCAACAGGGTTTTGGGAATTTGTGTCCAGGTGATTTTCATCCAAATGGTGGCACTTTATGTCACCGGGTTTTGGTCGCCCGTAGTACGGTCTTGGTGAGGTTGCATCACATACATACAGAGTGGGCGATTTTCTCCCATTCTGCATACATGTCGAAGCCATCGTAACTGTGAAGGATCCACTCGAGTTTGTGAGGCCTGGGTTTCAAGATTTTGATTTTCTGTCTGATGCGAACTGTGTTCCTTCTTGTCACTTGGACCAGATTTCTCAGATATCTAATTTCTGAGGCCTGAAGCTGGTTTCAGCAGTGTTAAGGTTGTCTAGCTTTTCTTCGGAGAGATAAAAGTGAAATTTAAGTAGCCTGCCAATGACTCATAGGGCACTCAGGTCAACCCCAGCTCTTCGTGATGCAGGCCGGAAAACTGAATGGCGAGGTTTCAGGCTAACAGGGCAATGGCTCGTATAAAAGGAGACAGGCACCAACAGGGTCTGATTTTTTTCCTGCCCCGCCACGCGACAGGCCTAGCAAGCCAGCAGTGATGTAATTTAATGCTACTATTCAAGAAACTTTGACTTATTATAGGACATGACTGCATATGAGACTTTCTACAGTAGAAAATCTGGAAGGAAGGGAAGAGGAAGACCAAGAAAGATATGGATAAATCTTGTAGCTGAAACCTGCACAAACAAAATTAACAAATTCATCACTCAAGCCACCCAAGACAAATACAGAAAACCACGACACTGGGCTACAACCTGGTATCAGTGAGCAGACAAATGAAGAAGAAGAAGAAGCTGGTTTCTGTGAGCTGTCATTGCCCATGACTCACGCCCATAGGTCAGGACTTGCACATAGGTAGAGCGGTAAACAGCCATTTTTTTCCTCTAGCCAATTTCTCTTTTGCTAAGAAACCCTCGGTTTATGGCCTAAAGGAGTCTCACAGCAACTGCTGTACACATAGACAGTTCGATCTTATTGCCCCCATTTAAAAAAATTACGACTCCAAGCTATTTGAACTGGCTGACCTGCCGCAATGCATACTGTCCCACCACGATCTGGTATTTCTTCTGCTCTCTTGAGATAAACATGGTTTCAGTTTGGAGATACTGATGGTCATCCCTCTCTTCTCAAGCTCTTTCCTTCCAGACAAGTAAGTTGGATTGAAAATTTGTCTCTGGGCCACGTTGTCTGCAAATGTCAGCTCTGATATACAGATTGGTCTCATCTTCCAGTACCCTACTGAGTATTTCTTTTGTCTTCTCATTACAGGTCTTGATGACATCACCCATCATACAAATTAACAGGTAAGGTGAGAGAATATCACCTTATCTAACACCACTAGTGTTCCTAAATTGTCTTGACTTTTGGTCTGCCGTTTTTACATAATTTCTGCAGCTTTTGTAGAAACTCTGTTTTACACTGATCGGGGGTGCTGGAAAGTTTTTCCCTGCCAAGCAGTCGCAGAGCTTGCTCCAGGCAACTTTATCAAATGTTTTTCATAGATCCAAAATTTATTGGTGCATCTCACTCCTATATTCAAGTGTTTTCTTTAACACCCATCTCTCTGAGTGTGAAATAAAGGTATAAAGTGCTTCGGTTTGCTCTGAAGCCACACTGGGCCTCATCCAGTAGTGGTTTTAATTGACTTCTAAGTCTATAAGTTTATGCTCGAGAATTCTAGAGTAACTTTTACAGAGGAGAGATGTGCCTCTGTTTAACTGTGAAATAATATTGACTATTATTATTATATGTGTTTGATAGACAACACAAAAACACTGATGACCAGGTAACATACCTCACACAGGACGTAGAAAATGGTTTCGAAGACATAGAAAATGGTTTTGAAGAAAGGAAGAAAACCCTCATAGTTTGTTTTTTTGTTTTTGTTGCTACAGCTCTTACACAATGGAATAAGAAACAGCATGTACTGTTGGATACAAGCCTTCATATCCCACGAGTGTACTGGTAGAAATAGTCGTCCCCATGTGGGATGCAATTTTTTAATGCCCCACCCTGGATTCTTCCGGGGGCTCTGCATATAGTCGGGGCATAGATATGGCCTAGGCATAGATATGGCCTAACGGCTGAAAGGGGTTTCTGAGACCTCTCCACGGGTGATCCTCATCCGTATGGTGGCACTTTGTGTCACCGGGTGTTTATCACTTGTTTGATGTCCTAGTGGTGTACAACTATCGTTGTACCCAACTCCCACGGGCGAGCATCCGTGAAACTGGATGGAGTGCACAGGTTCAGGTGGAGAGCAGGAGTACCACAGGGCAGTGTCCTGTTTCTGATGTATGTCAAAGGCTTACCGCAAGCTCTACCCAGACATGTATCGCATTCTCTTTACTCGGATGACCTACAGCGTGATGGATCTCCCAATCCATTTGACCTGCCACATCAAAACTCCATGAAAACCTGAACAGTTTCACAAACCAGGCTAGAGAATGGGGCCTCGAAGTAAACTGTAGCAACACTCTTCCCACTGTCTACAAAGGAAGAAAAGTCTACATTAAAATTCAACAATGATGCTGTTCCGTGCTCCATTATTCCAACCTGCAGTCGTCTGACACGGAAACATCACACACTGGAAACTGACACAAAGGCTATGAGAACAAGATGTGATTAGGAAATTGACAGGCGTCGCTTGTGGAGCGGACAACCGCATCGTGGCGTAGGTATACACCAGCACAGTCAGACCAACTCTGGAATATGCATTATCGTCATGGATAACAGCAGCCTATTCTAAATAAACAGGAACCAGACAAAACGTACAATCGATGTTTGCGTACAATTCTAAGAGCCATACAATATACACCTACTGTAGAAATGGAGATAATAAGAAGAGATGCAAAACGAAAGATCAAACTTTCTAAAGATGAATTATGGAAAAAGTTTGGAGAACAGATCACCACACTTGGTGGAAGTTCCCCTAGATAATTTTGCAAACAGGTTAAAATATAAGCGCAAGAGAAGAATGCAATAATCCAACTCCCATTTTAAACAACATGAGAGGCAGTCCTGTATTTAATCCACATCAAAAGCTAGCAGGATGGGCAGAATATTTTAGAGCTACTTAATCCTGAAAACGAGGCAGATGACATCAGTTTTGTGCCTAAAATCTATGACCGCTAAGAACCAAACTATTTTAACATCAGAAGTAAAAGTAGTAATTCGGAAAAACCCTTCTTCTGCGTTCGACATCAGTCATGCTAAACATTGAGTCCCGTCTGGGTCAAAAATAGGATTGTGCGTTTAAGGTCGCCACCGGTCCCCCATAGCTTCTCTCGCAATGTGGATCCCCTGGGCCAGATCCACAGTCTTTGCTGGGAGAGGTAAGGGCAGCATTGCAGTATGTGCTCAGGTATCTGTCTTTCTGCTCCACAATCACTGGCAGCAGATTATTGTATGCCTATCCTGCACAGGTGTGCTCGAAGACCACAGTGTCCAGTCCGAAGTCTACAAATTGATGTTTGTTTTTTCCTGTTGAGTTTGTTTATGCTGTCACTCTCTGGTCTGTAATCTCCATTCTGCCTTCTCCACTCCCGCTTGAAAGACTGCTTAAGCGCTGTTTTGGTTTCCTTGTAGCTGTGTGGTGGATGAGGTTGTGGAAGATTACTCCCAGCTTTTTCCAACTGTGGTATTCAAGGAAATGAGAGAGCTGATGAGTTGGAAAAACCCTAAAAACAGCACCTTGTTTAGATGAAATAACCACAGAAGCTTTTCAAGCATGTGGGCAAACTGGCATTGAATGGCGAACAAGAATGTTCAATACAGCATAGGAAGAAAGGAAAGTTCTATTTGACTGGAAGCAGGCATTGATAATACAAGTTTATAAAAAGAAAGGTAATATAAGAGAATGTGCTTCGTTCAGAGATATATCACTCTTGAGCCACACAGGAAAAATGTTTGCTAGCTTATTAGAACAGAGAGTTAGACCTTAAGCAAAATATAGCCAACCAAAGTACATCACAATTTGGTTTTAGGTTGCACAGATGCATTATTTACACTAAGAGAAGTTTGCTAGAAAACCATTGAATATGACGACACTGTGTTCGTAGATAAAAAAAAAAGGCTGTTGATAGAGTAGATATAAACACACTATGGGCTATTCTTGAGGAGTTTCGGATTCAAGGACAGTGGCTACATAACATTGTAGCAATCTAGCACACTTCCTAAAGCGCAGTGAGAACATAAGAAGAAATGTCTGATCTATTTATAATCAATACAGGGGTGAGGCAGGGATGTTTGTCATCTCCTCTCTTATTTACTACACATTGATAGAAAATCAAAAGAAGCCAGTGTTAAAGCAGTCGACCCAGAAAATTAGGAACTTTACTTTCCAAAGGTAGAATTATATCCACACACAATAAATGAGTTACTATTTGCAGACGATCAGTGCCTGTATTAAAATGAGTGGAGTAGACTGCGAGACAATTTGAACAGCTAAGTTCAACATACAGAAGATATAACATGAAAATAATGCTACTAAAGCTGAAGTAATGCAGGTCAGCAGAGTTTCTAGTCCGCTACATATCGGGTTGAATGGTACTTGTCTGAAGAAAGTTAAAGAATTTAAATATCAAATAAGTATATTTTCGGAGAACGGTATTCTCTGAGGACTGCTGTGTAAAGCTGGGACGACCATCCCCAACCCAGCGCGCCCACTGGTGGCGGATTGTGGAACGGCCTCCAGATATAAAGGTTTGCTGTGAATACCCAGCTTACCAGTGACAACAGGACGAGCGGTTTGATTCGGATGGAAGCATTAAGCCAGAAATGGCACAAACACCAGTATTCAGTCACGAAAGTGACGCAAATAACCCAGACCACAAATATAGGCGGAGACTGTTAGCAGCCTCGGCTAGCTAGCAGCAGTCTGAACGTGGTCGAGCTTTTCTTTTTTTCTCTCAAAAGGACTTGGACATACCCAGCTTGCAGCCGCGGACCAACTGGCGGTAGGCACAGAGGGTGGGATGGGATTTCAGGGTGGGATCTGAAATCCTTATAAAAATACCTCAGATGCTCGGAGAAGTGCCTGCCAAGCTGGTCGGAATCTATAACCTCTTTCCCCGGGTAGGTGAAACCCGTTAGCTTTGGACAGCAGTCCGTATAGGAGACGACAAACTTTGAATATAACCCCTCAAGTTCAAGGTGGGCCAACGTGCCGATGGAACTGGATGGCCACGGGTAAGCTGGTCGTGAACGTTGGAGTCTGGCGAGCGTGCGGAGCGGCACCAGGCGTATGGACTCCTACGGGACATCCATGGACTCTTCCCTGTAAGAAATGGACGTAAATTTGCCTCTGCAACGTCCTGTCAAGGATACGCATCTAACCTAACCATGCTCCAGGAGCTAAATACAGACATATATCATTGCCCTTGGTACGTCAGTTATATAAACCCTGTTGCCCGTCTCTCTAGCGTAGTTGGCTAAACCGGATTGCGCGGTGAGCGGGTGACGAACTCCTTGTGGTCCGGGTTCACTCCCGGGGGTGGGCAGAAAAGCCACATTTTTCCCAGATTTACCGCATTTAAAATGGAATCAAGGCCGAAAGGTTGCGATATCCATAATACCGAGCCTAAGGGTTAACAACTCATGGCTTATGGATACTAAAACAAACAAACAAACATATAAACCCTGTTGGACAGGAGAGACATGGACAAGGTCTGGTGGGGAAGGAGGGGGTAAAGCATGTGGTGCTTTACTTGAGCCAGTGGAACCACAGTGGAAGAAAGGTTCCAGATATGCAGGTGGAGATTAGTGGCTTAAAAGTTGGAACCTCATAAATATAAATGCCACGGTAGACTATTTTGTCAGAAGGAAACAATGGGGCTGGCTCGGGAATTGGAAGAGTTACAAGGTGATAGGTTACTTATATGTGGGGATTTACGAAGCGAAACATTTACCAGTTTTTTATAAGGATATATTGGGGGGGGGGGGCATATAAAAAACCCAGAACTGGAGGGGGAAGAGAGGGGGGGGGGGTGCAGCATTAGCCATCTCTCAGCAGATCAACCAAATTTGAGAATTTTCTTTCACAATCCTGTAGCCAATTTGTGCGCAGGCGCAATGCTGAGACCGGATGTTAGCCTTTGTGTACATGCGCAGACAGTCAAAGTAAAGCGAATCTAATCGTCGCGTTACAAAACGAATTTATTCCAATTCAAAGCGGTAGAAAGTTCTAGGTTTGTCCCGGAAATATTTCTGGCAGTCAACAACTGCAACAACTGAGCAATTTTCTTACTAGCTGAATATTGCCTTCCAGCATACTTGTTTATAAATTTAAACCTAAATGACGTCTGTGGAGTCAGGAGCCGGTGGGAACGAGTTTCCACATGAAACTACTACTGGCGTAGATCTTACAGAAAAGCATGATGGAGGAGTTATTAAAGAAATCATAAGGGAGGGTGAAGGAGAAGACAGACCTGCGAAGGGAGATAAGGTCTCAGTACATTATGTTGGCACATTGCTCGATGGCACTAAATTCGATTCCAGCAGAGACAGAGGAGAACAGTTTACATTTTCTTTGGGAAAAGGTAATGTAGTGTTGTAGTTGTCAGTACTCAAGTGTACCGTCGTACTCAACGTCGTACTGTATAGTATTAGTTTAGTTAGGAGTCCATGCCGGATGCCGTGTGTGTGTGGTGTTGGTCTCTCTATCTAAAATAATCTTCTATGATCTGTCTCGAAATGAACTCTTGTCATTTGACACAGATGCTCTCCCATGTCTTGATGTCAAACTGTCTAGCATCTGTTCTCTCCATCTCACTCTGCCTCTCCTCCCCTCTAACTTTCCTACCGTCATGTCATGATGTACTCCAGTTTTCTCCTTCTCATACTCATTCCATGACCGAAGAATGTTAGTAATTGTTACAATGTAGATTGTCTTTTTCTGATGTGGACAATCAGTTCTCTTTCCTGAATCAGTTTCTTTTTTTTTAAATGCTGCCTTTGCTTACTTAAGCTATTTTATTTGACATTTTTTGTTAAATTTTAACTTCCTTAAAAAATCTTTTATCTGATATTATCAGGGTACCCTGATATCAGCTTGCTTGATATTTGTCCCATTTTTTACTCATTTACTTTTATGTTTCATTTTCAAGGGTCAGTTTTCTTTGTAATTACCATTACTTCTGTTTTTCTGCTGTTCAAACTAAGACCCTTGTTTTCCCTATCCCTTACAATTATATCCATAATTTCTTGCAGTTCTGTTTCATTTTCTGCAATACTAATAGTTAATACTATTTCATCAGCATATTGTGGGTTGTTAACAATATGCCCACCAACCGCAATTGTATGGATCTGATTATTATTTCACATCCTGTCTAATGCCTTGTTTAATGTTTTGAAAAGTTCCAACTTGGTTGTCAATCCTAATGGCTGCTTCTTGTTTTTTGTTTTTTTAAATTATTCTCAGATCTTTACCATCAGTTCAGTACTGTTTGAGGTTTCAGAAATTCTAATAATTTCTTCATGTTTCACTTTAGTGTAATCAATAAAGCACAAATACAGGTCTCTATTCATGTCAGTCTTTCTTTCTAAAAGTTTTCTCAAGATAAATATGGTGCCACCAAGAAACTAAATTCAAGTTAAGATAGCAAAGAAACAGTCCTCAATATAGCAGGCCCTCAGACGGCTCATAAAGGACTGAGTTTGGAGTTTTTGTTTGGGGGAGTAGGTGGAGTTTCAACATGAGGCTGTTTTTTTTTTTTTTTTTTTTTTGTTGATATTATTTGTTAGCAATTCTGGCATATAATTACTTTTTGTCTTGTCTCCCTACCTGCCCATCTCTCCTTATTTGTGTTTGTCACTCTCTCTCTCTTGCTTTATGTCCGTTTCTCCATCCTTTCTGTCTACATCTCTCTCTCTCTCTCTCTCTCTCTCTCTCTCTCTCTCTCTCTCTCTCTCTCTCTCTCTCTCTCTCTCTCTCTCTCTCTCTCTCTCTCTCTCTCTCTCTCTGCTTGCATCTCCCTCTCTTCCTGTCTCCTCTCCCTCCCTCTCTCCAGCTCTCTTTGTCATGTTTTTCCTTTTTCCATATCTCTGTTTCTTGCCCTTCTTCCTTCTCTCTTCATCTACCCATCTTTCTGTATTTGTCTCCCTCATCAGTGTCTCAGGCCCTCCCTCTCTTTGTCGTCTTTGTCCTCCTCCTTTCCTCTATCTTCATCTGTCCATCTTTACACTGTTTCTCCCAGTCTACCTCAGCTTCTGTCTTTCTCCCTCTCTGTATGGTGCTCTCTTTCTCCCCCCTTCCCCTTTCAGGTACCAGGTCCAGAACAGAAGGGACTTCAGTTTGCTCCCCCCTATCACCAAGTCTAAAAAAAATGTAAAAACACTATATCTGTGCTGGTATACCCACATGTGTGCACACAAAAGAAGTACCATGTGTGCTGTGTATGCCATTAAACAAGGCAAAAAATACCTTTTTTCATTATTACTCTGAGACAGTCTTTAAATAAAACTAAGAATACCCTGAAAAGCTTTAAAATTTGTAAATTTGGCTATGAACCCTGTTTATATACTGTGTCCATCTTTCAATTACCTACTCTTTGTCCATTAATATTTCACCTTCTTTTGTTTTCAAGCAACTACTTGTATATTTTCTAAAACCTGAAAGTTCTTGTATTCTGTCATACATGTCTTGTCTGTTCTCTCTTTGTTACGACTTCTATAACAGACTAAAATATAAAGTACATTGTTTATCTTTTTACTGTTTTTACCTAATTACAAATCTGCTGCCGACTGAGATTCCTTTCATGAGCTTTATTATGATGACTGTTTATTTCCTACATTTCAGGACAGGTTATCAAAGCATGGGATATTGGAGTTGCCTCAATGAGAAAAGGAGAAGTGGCAAAACTGACTTGCAGAGCAGACTATGCTTATGGGGAAGGTGGATCTCCTCCTAAGATACCTCCCAATGCAACACTTGTATTTGAGGTTGAACTATTTTCTTGGCAAGGTACTTTTCATCCTTTAAACCAACATTATTTTTATGTGAAAATTTTACTCTCCAAATACTGTAGTTTTTTTTTTTTTTTTTTTTTTTGAGGTTTCTGTCCTGTGCAATATTAAAAGGATGTGTAGAAGGGGTTTTTAAAGGACATTTTGATATTGCATTCATATTTGATTTATTAGCACCTTTCCATCTTTAGTGTTATAGTTCGCTATGAGGAAGCATGTGACTCACAGCCCATGGTGATGGCGAATAATAACCCGTAACTGCTGCCTCTCGATTTGTTGTCCGAAACTAATTACGGTCGATGATGAGGTTCATCCACTCCATAGCACAAAGCCTGGGCATTACTGTAGAGACCTTATGAATCATGATCCCTCTCTCGATCTGCCTTGTTTACTCCAAAGGAACGGTAACACCAGTACGTTTGGAACAAAGCAGGCTGCAGAAGTTGCCGGATCAGAAGAGCAGTGCTATATCTCCGCCTGTCTGAGCTTCCCTTCTAGACCAGCTGCCAGCTAAGGGTCTGGTCTACCTTCCCATAACATTAAGTTTTCAGGTTGCAATTCCTCTTTTGGGGATAAGGTTAGTATCCGTCCCAATGTGCTCCTCTGCCCAAAGCCGTTGGCACAATATGAGATGTCAGGTTTGGTATGTGCCACCCAACATTCAGCGTAACAGAAGACAGGTGGTACCGGCTACAACAGTAACAATCAAAATTACACTACATTAGAGGATCTTGGACACTGGAAAAAAATTTTTGGTGGGAAATATACTTATCTTTTTTTTTAACTTCACCAGCAGCACTGCTGTCTATTTTTAAGAATTCACATGCCTTCTGTGTTTAGCTCTGCATCATCTAATTTTTATTTGAGCCGGGTATTGTAAATACTTTAGATTTTATGACCATTTTTGTGTGACATGCGTCAAATTTTACAACAGCTGAATAAATAATAAATATTGACATGATATATGAGGGCAATTCCAGTGATAACACTTATTTATGTGACAGTAATGATGGTGTTGATCCTGAATATAACCTGCTTACTGGGTGTGTTATACCCTAAAATATGCATTAGGGCACAAGTGAGGCCTGTCATCACATCCTATGCGGTAATAACTGCTGCACTTCCAAACCTTTTTCTTGCTGCACTGCATGCATCTGTAAAAGGTATGGTACTGGTGATGTTAGGTGTCAGTGTCAATAGTTTGATGCAAGTTTTTCAGCAAATTTGGTTAAATAAAGGTTAAAAAAAAACAGTATAGTACAAGCAAACACTATTTTGTAAAATTGTTGGCTTGTGGAGTAAACACCTATCAGTAGAGGTTAGTAGAGTAATTCTTGTGTATTGTATAGGATGTTTTAATTTATGGCTGTGAATCTTGCACAAACCAAATAAATCTTGGGAAGTCTCAAAAATATTTTATAGAATAAAGCTTAGAATAATTTGGAATGTCAGAATCATAATTGAAATGTTTTTACGGCACAAAATCTAACCTGTCACAAGTAGCAGTCCTCATTTTTGGTCACATTATAAAAAGGTGAAAACTGCCACCCACCATAAAAACAAACTGGAAAGATTAATGACAGAAAAAATACAGTATGTAAATTTTCTTGGCAACCTTTGCCATATCCTTGAAAAAATATCAGTACACAAAATAATATCTGCTGTTTTAGACTACCAAATATGAAGCTTGATTGCTCATGTCAGTTGACAAGACTCAGTGATCAGGATTTAATAGAAATGTGTTTGCTATGTTCACTGTGTATTTTTCTTTGAGGTGAGTGACAAAATTTCAGACTTGTCAAAATTGAAATAGCCACTGTTCTTTTTGTTCATTCTCACATTTTTCTTATTTTTGACGCCATGTGATGTTGGTCATCATTTCTGTCCACAAAGCTAGTGTGCTGTCAGTCATTTGTGGTTCATGTGTTTTTCCATGTTATGCTGCTTTGGTATTCCGCTACCTATCTTGTCCTCACTACTCAGTGGATATGAATGGCTCTTCTGATATTGTCGATGTAGTTAAATCTTTGGCATTGGTGCTAAGGGTAAATTTTGTGGTTCTTTTTTAAACTGGCAACAAAAACAGTCATCCCATTTGGATTAGGATTAAACAAGGTATCAGGACTTTCATAGGATGGAGATTTTGCTTTAAAGTGATCTTTTTTGCGACTGTATCATATTCATCAAACACATATACCTGATTTTTTTTTTTTAACTGCTGTGTTGTCATTTGTTGTTGATCTATCAGTTGAAATTTCTTACTACATTTTAATCAAGTTTTTATGGCTAAACCAGTTAAGAAAAGTCACCTATTCAAACAAAAAAAGATTTGCTGAATGGGTTCCATTTAATGCTTCACCCATTTCCCCCTTCATATGTCTTTATTATATTCAAGTGTTTAGATACATACATATTTAATGAATTCGTTTGTAACCTTTGTGGAGGAAAAAATTTAGGGAATCCCAACATGGTCATGACCCATTTTTTTGTTTAGGGTATCTGTGATGAAAGTGGTAAGAAGGAATGATCCTCTAAAGAAAGATAATACAAACAAATGTTCATTACTTTCCCTTGTGTGTATTACACTATTTTGCAACTGCATGTGAATTGTAAACTGTTTAACTGGCGTCAAAATAAAAATAGTTTTTGTGTGTGTTTTTTAAATAGGTGAAGATATATCTCCAAATAAAGACAATGGTATTATTCGTTCTATTCTAACTGAGGGCGTTGGCCACCAGACTCCAAGTGATTATGCAGCGGTTCAGAGTAAGTTCTCTCTATGGACATTTTGAGTCTATACAACTGCATCATTTATTTTGGTTTTTTTTTATATTAAGATGATTAGTTTGTTATTGATATACATTAAGTTTCATTTAGTCAGCTGCAGCCCTTCATAAGATAAGCATGTGACCTTGGTATATACTGTACATACCAGCATTGTCACTTCTAACTTTACTAATTGCTTAATTAGCTCAGAATCAAAACTGCTGCCTGCAGCTTAGCTTTGTTAGAATGTTGGAGATAAATCTATTTCAAGCGAGCACCATTTAACTTATTGGGCCCAAACTAGTCTATTGTTTACATGTTGATTTTTTAATGGCATGAAAAGCTCATGCAAGTGACAGAATTATGACTTCGTTGTGAATGCAACAGTTATCAAGAGCATGGATCTTGTAAGAAAAGACTGAGATCCAACAACAGAAAGATGGATACTGGACATTAAAGATATCTTGGGCATAAAACTTTCAAGTCTGATTAACCTAGCACACACAAAAATGTGAATCTTTTTGATTGCAGTGATTAAAATTTCAGAAAGAATCTTCTGTATGAATGAAGTAATTTTAGCTTTGAACCAGATTAATTTACAAGTGTCTTTTCTTGTTTGTAAAGGATAATTTTCATTGCACACAGGTAACTGCATCTGTGCTCCATCCAGTCTTTCATGGATCACACAAGAAAAATCTCACCACAGTTGGCCAGCTCCTTAGAACTAAGATCTGAATTTATGCATACAAAAATCATAGGTGCCATATGCTATACGTGTTTGTGGATTCTCCAATTCTGCATATTAGCTTAGGTAGCGTACAGCTGCCCAAGAGGCAGGGAAATGAAAAACGGTTGTACACCCAAAAATCAGGTCCAGGTGAAAGCCAAAAGTCCAAGCGGACGATAAACCGGGACCTTCCACTCGAATTCACAGCCGGTGTTCGATGAAAAAAAAAAAAAAAAAGCTTAGGTAGTAGTGGCTAGCAGTTTTCAGTTTGAAATTGTCAAGGGCTTTTTAAAATATGTGCAGTATATACAAGGATCCTTTCTCTCTTATCAGATTTGTTCACCCTTATCTGTCAATATAATCCAGACATGGTCTTATTCCAACTTTCTCTCTAATGCTGGTATTCGTAACCCTGTCTCTGCTTGTGTTGTTAGTGACCTTGTAGAGACAGCGCATTTCACATTTAGTTATTTTCTGTTTTAGTGCCTCATTCATTGTCAATGTTTGACACTGATAACATAAAGTAGGGGATAAAGATGCTATTAATCATTTGCTGTTTTGTTGGGAGGGAGACATTTGTGTCTAAGCAGTGAGGCTTACTGGTTGGTGACAGCATTTGCCTTCTGTACTCTGGCTTCTATCTCTCTATCGAGTCCTAGATATTCGAAATCTCATACTTGTTTGATTGTAGTACTGTTAACATGAACATTCATGATATTATATTTCCTGCCTATCCTGATTACCTCAGTTTTTGCGGTGTTTATTCTCATCATACTTTGTGCAGGCTTGATGTAGGGAGTCAGTATAGTGTTGTAAATTCTTTTCTTGGCAGTGTTTGATATTGATCATCTGCAAAAAAAAGAAGTTCATTTATTTCTTCAGTGTCTGTATTTGCCTCATGTCTTATTCTGTCCATGTAAGTAATGAATAGCAATGGCGAGAGGACACATCCCTGTCTGACACCTGATGATATGGGAAACCCGTCTCTCCTTCCTTATGTTGTTCTTACTATGCACTGACTATCTTGGTATAGAGCCATGGTGTTACCCAACAGTTATCTTGAGAGCATTGCCGTTGTGAAAACCTTTTTAATTAACAGTGGCACACAGGAAAGCATAGGACCATCAGAGTAGTCTTGGATGAGATTAGATTTAGATATAAAGTGGTTATGGGAGTGCAAACTTTGTAAGTTTGTAATGCAAGATTACATGATAATTTTGCCAAGAAAATGGCATGTAGATAAATCTCAAGTATATTGTATTCACCCATTCACTGTTAAGCGTGTATGTTCTTAGCAGCCCATTTTTCTAATGTTCAGTATTGTACAGATATTGAAAGATAAATAACAAGTCTTCATTTTTTTTTCTCCAGTAAATTATTCTGTCAAGCATGAACAGCAAGTGTTGCATGAGAGCAAAGCTGCACAGTTTGTTCTAGGGGAGGTCGAGGATCCATACATTGTCCAAGGTCTGGAGATTGCTCTGAAGAAAATGAAGACGAAGGAGCATTCAAAGTTCACCATTTCTCCAGCATATGCTTTTGGAGCGGAAGGCAATAAAGAATTGGGAATTGGCCCCAATGCTGTGTTAACATATGATGTTGAGCTCATCTCTTTTGAAAAGGTTTGATGGTGTTCTGAACTCTGTAATGGTGATAAGGCCAGTCGTTTTATATATGGCTCTGAAACTTGGAGCACTGCTAAAAGAGATGAAGCCTCATTACAAATTTTAGAAAACAGAGTATTATGACAAATCTTTGGACCCATCAAATATGCAAACAGCGGGGAGTGGAGAGAGAAGCAGCAACAAAATTTATAATCTGTTTAAATCAGTATTGATTACTGGTATCATGAGATCTAATAGATTGAAATGGCTTGGGCATATTGAGATAATGTCAAGATATCATTTTAGACACCATTAAGCATCAGATTGATACTGATGCATTATTCTATTTTGAAGAAAATTGACACAACTGATACTTGATTGGATTTGCAGTGTATCACTATTTCACATCACCCTAACGGCTCCAATTTCCATCCAGTGGGTAGACCCCCCCCCCTCCCCCCCACACACACACACACAAATATACATAATACTCATAACACACAAACATGTTTATTCTGCTTGTTTATGGAACGGGTGCCAAAACATTCAGTAATTTTTTGCAAAATGGGAACCTGCAAAGTCTTCATCGCAGAACATTTCACAAGAAAGCAAGTAAATTATTTTCAAAGTTGGAAAATTTGGAGGACGTGGTTTTCTCTCACACCCTGAAGTATGTTTGACAAGTCCATGCACACGAGTCAGGCATCACTCTACATGACAATGATGCGCTAGATAATACTGTCAGCTTGAATGGCACTTGGCTGACGGGAGGCCACATGTCTTTTCATTGGGTTTGGCTGTGCAGTGGATATCCTTACAGAACTTTGCTTAGATGTGCATGTTTTGTCCACATACTGTCAGGTGTGTGAAACCACTGGTAAGAGAGTTTTGAAATCTAAACCAGCTGAATTTGTAGCATGGGAAGCAGACCATCTTCTAAACTGTGATAATAATTTCACAGGATCTGCTGGAATGATGGAGGTGGAGGCTGCACGAGACCTGTGGCCCGTCATAAGCTTGGTTATACATCAATACTTTCTGAAGGTTATGCCAAAACATTGAGGAGCTTACCAAGATCAAACCTTATAGGGAGGACATTTACATAGACATAGAGGACTGTATCAGCTGTGTCAGTAAATGCCTTGGGACAGCACTCTGTATTGTTCCTAATTTCCTAAATGTATTGTTCCTGAGTTCCGAAAGCAAGACGTGACCCGAGGTGGACGTGGTAAAGGTCAGCGTACCCAAAATGCCATCCGTAAACTGACAATTTATTACGACAGAGCGATAAGAAACAACACAAGTATAGAGTCTACGAGGAAAGGTGTTATTGCTTCAATGCATTACTGTTTTTCAACAGACAAAACTATGCTATGAAATGTGCCCAAGTGGAGAGCAATCTTAGTGGGGGGTTGTTTTTCCAGTTGGCCCTGGCTACACACATGGCTCAACGGTGACAAGCTACAGAAGTATATTTTGCCAATTTATGAAAGTCTTTCTGACCCTAAACTGCTTAGTAGATGTGTTTCAGAATTCAAATGAGTGTTTATGCAACTTGATCTGGGCTCGCTGTAGTAAAGACAAGTTTGCTTCGCGCAGGCACGTTTAGGTTGCCACTTTATCCACTCTTTTGCACACTCCTCCCATTATGTCTGTGCAATTTTTTTTTTAATTTACATGTTTATACAAGGTTTTGTCTTCTGCAGACCAAAAAAGTCTATGAAATGGAAACACCTGAAAAATTAGAGCAGGCAGAAATCAGGAAAGCAAAAGGAACAGACTTGTTTAAGGTAAATCATTAAGAAAAGACAATTTTTTTAAATACATTTTTTTCTGAACTCTTCACAAGTAATTAGATGAGCTGCCATTTTCACAATGAAGGAGGTCTGCAAAGGATTTTTATCTGTTGCCACGATGGTATAGCCTAATTTCTTGACATTATTCTCTTCCTCTTTAATGGATTTCTTCCTCTGGGGTTCTGCCATCTGTTATACTATATTTTGTCAGTTTATGTCTCTGTGCTGAAAAAGTTTATTAAAATGAAATTCACCTCATTTTATCTGTAACAGTATTTCACTTTGTTGTTTTTACACTTGCTTGTTTCTATGGGGTTATCAGCACCACACAACACGTGTTGACACAGGGCTAGTCGAAACATTCCGACATTAATTCCTGCTCTTATTAAGGATGATCCTGACTGGAGAGTTGAGTTTTGTGAGTGGTGCACAGACAAACATGTGGAAGATGCAATATTTGGAGAGAAAATTGTTTGGAGCAATGAGGCAGCATTTTTGTTAAGTGGTTCAGTTAATTGGAACACACCTGCATCTGTTGGCCTCTTCAAAATCCACCTGTCATAGTGGAGCATCTTTTGAACTTTCTAGGAGTTTGTATCATGGATTATCAGCAGGCCTACTAGGCCTGTTGCTTATTTTGGAGAAGACTGTCACTGGTGACACCGACCTCAAGTTATTATTGCAGGGATCCATTGGCCCACGCATTGAAAAGATGTTTAGAGACAAGTTTTATTTTCCAGAAAGATGAGACATCTCCTCACCTCCATAGTGATGTACAAGCCTATCTTGATGCAACACTTCTGGACAAATGGATTGTGAGAAGAGGTGCTGTTGAATTCCCTGCATGCTGCCTAGTCCTCATACCGAATGGATTTCATTGTTATTGTGGGGATCCTCAAATATAGGGTTGACGCTGCAAAACTAGTGACAGTCAAGGAGTTAAAGATTAAATTTGAAGCCATTATCAGTTCCTGAAAGTTGTTGCCTGCATATAGGTTAAGCAGAGGAAGTAATCCACATTGTTGTCATTTTTTTTTAAATCTTACTTTACTAGAACAGTAAACTCCACTATAGGTTATTGGGGCTTATTATTTCTTTTTCATCAGCACCTGTTTCAGCAAGGAGTTATATTATTTTCCAGGTTGAACTCCTAATAGTCAGTTTACTTCTTTGTTAAAAGCCTGAAATTTTTTTTTTAAACCAAAAGCTGTAATGCTGTTTTGCTGAGCTGTAGAACTGACGCTTTCATTTGGGTCCTGTTCCCCTTAAATGTCACACAACAGACTCATATAGTTAAATGCTGTTTGTGATGTTCCTGCAGACAAAAGTATTTTAGGAGGCCATGATATGAATATATTTACTAAACATAGCATTTAGTTTTCTTGTCTGTATCAGGTGGCTTGTTTAGAGCCATGTTAACTTCACATTTTTCCATAGCCCCACTCATAAAGGACACGGGGCCTGGCCTGAGTCACCCGATACATGTTTCTTTAAGGCTCTGCTAGTGTGTTTCATTTAATGCTTCCCTCTGTTCTTCTTTTTAATTACTTTGTCTTTATATATTTACCTTAAGAATTTTTTTTAAAAATAAACATATGGTTTGAAATGAACATATGGGTCATAAACCTATGAAAAATCCCGTTTTTCGTTCTACCACAATTGCTTTAAGAAAACGGCAATTTTTACACAGGTCATTAATAATTTTTAACCAGTTTGATAATGGACTGTGTAAAATGTTTTTCAGAAGGATTTTTGGGGGATTCCAGTATTTTAACTGGTGACAAGGTGGCAGTATATCAAAGTAGGACCTCATGTAATTACTTATTTGTGATAGCCGTTGTCTCACACATGTGCCTCACAGGCTTCACTACCATCTCATGTTCTAAGTTAGCATTCTCTCATTTAAAAAAAAAAAGTTTTCTTTTGTTGTTTAACAGCCTCCAGGATTTCAGAAGTGGTGGCCATACAAGCTAGATCAAAAGTAGTTTCCCAGTTTACAATGCTGTCTGTAAAACTACGTGGGGTTGAAGCTGTTTTTATCACCCTTGTGTGTTTTCCCTCCTTCCCCCTGTTTGTCTATCACATAGACACATTCCCCTCTGCAGTTCAGCATTTAAAATTCTGTGGTGCAAAGTTTTAGAGAATAATTTTTTAAATATTGTTTTTTTTCCCCAACAGAAAGGACTGATTGAAAAGGCACGGGCTAACTATAACACAGTTCTTGACTACTTGGATGGTGAATCATCATTAGAAGGTGAAGAAAAGGAGAGAAGGGATGCTCTCGTTTTGGCAGCACGTCTAAATTTAGCAGCCTGTGAACTGAAGTTAGGTAATGATGCTGAAGCAATAAAGCACTGCAGTGAGGCATTGGAAATTAGTCCTGATAATCCCAAGGCCTACTTCAGAAGAGCACAGGTAGGTAACTTGCATAATTTTGAAAACAGATTCTTAGTAATATACCTGATTTACTTCATTAGCTTTGTAAATTTTTTTATTTCTTTCACCATGAGGGGTTATCATCTATAAGTGCATTGTTTAGATGTGGAGAACGTGCTTATGGGTTTTTCTATCTTTTAATGTTTACTTGTCAGCGTCCATGGCTTATGCGTTCCGAGCATGCTTTGTAATGCTAGGGTGTCAGGTTCGATCCCAGCTGCATGCAATTTGTCAGCAAACTGTCTTATGTTGGTTTTGACAAGTGACATCAAGAGCTGGCCATTCAGAAAGCAATGGCAAACTGATGAATGTAACAGCTCCTTAGAAAAACCTTAGAAGCAACAAAACAAAACAAAAAAAGCTGAGATTCCCCTTTTAGGGTTAACTTGTTGTTATCTGAAGAACACCAGCAGGAACTTTCATGTTGGAGAGGGAAATGGTTTGAAAATTCTGTGGGATTGAGAAGTCAAAACACAGACAGAAATGGGTATATGTTGACAATGTGATTAAAGAACTAGGCTTACGTGGTAATGAACGCAAATGGACACTTAAAACAGCTGGGCGAGGTTGCTAAGAGGGCCTTGAGCTGGCTCTGGACACAACGAAACAACGTAGGGGACAAGCCTCGGTGAGCTGGTCCGAGTGTTTAGCGGAAAGGAATTTCTCATCCCTCAAAAGTCCATCTTGTCCGAATTGTCTGCCAGTGTCCCTCTGCCGCCTGCTAAAAAAGTCCAACATGTGTCCGGTATACCAATCATAAGCTTGCCGCTCGGTCGTTCGGGTATGCAGACTGCTTTAATTATGCTACCGCGACGACTTCTTATCTAACAGTACCTTCTGCAAAATCACCAATTCGTCTTGTCCCTATCCGAACAACATCCGGTAGTTCATGCAGCAGGGGAAACCAACCCTGAGCTTCATGAACTCAGGTGGGCACACTCTCTGAAAATGTTTAGGGGCTCGTGGGCCGAAACATTTGTCGACGAGAGGTTACTTCTACTGACGATTGGTAGACCCCTGCTGTACATGCTCCCCTGTGGAGTTTCTTCTTATCTTATGACAATATGGTAAAATAATTACTTTTACATAATTCTTGAAATTTTGCACAACACTTCTGTTACCAGAAAATATCTTTAAAGAAATTATCTGTATGCTTTTAAAAATATTTTTTTTTGGGCATAAATTACCATTTTTGAGAAAAACTGCAATCAACCAGCTTCTCCATTGCTCTAAAATATCTCCCTGCAGGCTCATCAGAATCGGAAGGATTTTGATAAAGCACTAAAAGACTACCAGCAAGTGGAAATTCTGGAGCCAGATAACAAAGCTGCAAAGAACCAAATAATCGTGTGTAAAAGAAAGTTACAGGAATTACATCAGCAGGAGAAAAAATTGTATGCAAACATGTTTAGCAACATCACGCAGCAGCGTTCGCAGGTGGGCGGTACGTATATGTGAATATATTTGTCTGAGAAAAGATGCAACAAATTATTTTTTTTTTTTTTAAAGTATACTTGTTAAAATTTTAGAGCTGCATTTTTCATAAACTTTGAAAAAAAAAAGAGTTACATAATTTGAGCTAGTTAAACAGCTGCTGTGATCAAGTGGTTGGTCTGATTGCCAGCCAGAAACTGTCTTCTAGGTACCACTGCAAAGGTGGTAGTGTCTCTCTTTCTTTTAAAAACCCACAACAAAAACCTTGGTCAAAGTTGAAGTCACACATGAAAAGATCTAGAACTTCACAGAAAGGTCTGAGAATGTGATTTGTGAGTAAGAGTTCAAACCATTCCCTGGGACACAGAAGTGGAAGAGAAATATGTAGAGGGCAGGCATTGACTTCAAAATTTTAGGTTCACAGAAGCAAGAGATCTCTTTATTGAGGCTGCTAAACATAAGAAACATTGCAGGGAAAGAAGTAAAAGTAATAAATTACATTTTTAGATGTAGCCTGGATACCCATATAACCACTTCATGAAGTGTTATGTGCCTTGTGAGTAAATCTTACATTGAAAGCATATAGAAGAGCCTGCGGACCATACCCTTTTACCTGCTGTCCTGTTCCATTTTTGACATTCAGTTTTCTCTGAGCGGATGCTTAGTATAGGTTTTTATCTGCAGCCTGTGCACATCTTGTCTACTTCAATAGGGCCCTGCTGTTTCACAATCTGCTTTTCTTTACTAATAGTTATTGATAAACCAGGGCAGTTTTATTTGGTTCAAGTGGACTACAGATTGTCTCTTGCAGAGGGATGCATTGTGTGTTGTATTTATATAATTTTATGGGCATTAACTCTTTATGTCCCATGGAACGCATCATACGTTCATAGATTCCTACATAGAAGCCCAATGAACGCATGATGCACCAATTTTACATCTCTCTTGACTACCCCTTGGGCCTGTGATGCTAAACCCGCTGGGACTCAAAGAGTTAATAGTTTCAGCTAATCTATTAGGTGTTGACAGTATTCTTGACAGTATTCAAATATTAGGTCAGTTGTAGCTACATTAGGCATGCATTTTTATTGTTCTTTACAAGTTTGAATAATGTTTTTCCTCAGAAAACTGAACCAGATAATGGCAGTGTGTTCCGAGATGGCATAGGGGAATGGAGTAATGATATGGCCGCTGGCATGCTGCCATTAGACCAAGAAGTTGCAGCCTTTGGTGATGTTATGCCAGGTCCAGATAATAACACAGGAAATAACCATAAATACTGATTACGTTTTTAAACATTTGCATTCATCATGATGAGGGTGGAAGCATAATTTGAGGTTGACTTACTATGAATATATGTTGTGTTCAGTGAAGCTGTAAAATCTTGTCTTTGGCCTTCTGTTTATATAATAATTTCCAGCACTGTGTTATGTTGTTAATTCATTGAGTAGTACTACTGAAAACAGTTATATTTTCGTTTTTCAGTGTTGACAGTTTTAGACAGCAAAGTGTGTTCATTCCAAGTAGTCCTAATTTCTTCAAAGTTATTTTTAATAAGTTCATTGTGTAATTCCTCCCCCCTCCTTTCTCAAAATGTATTCAGCATTCTTGCTCTGTTCAGTCTGTTGTCTTTGTTCCCTATCTTATTAGTATGTTGTCTGCTGCAATACCTAGGTTGGATGGATGGTCGTAGATGGAACAAAACTAAATGATTGTCTCACAGTTGGCGCTACTTTAAAAGCTTAATGTTTACAATTGAATATACTCCTTGTATTTCAAGTGCAGATTCTTTAGAATAAGTATTATGTCATTAGATTCACATAGTAATAATAAATTGTTTAATTTCCCTTTGTTTTGGTGCATATTTATGGACCTCTGTACTTCATAGAGCTTAGTTTCTTTATGTGGTCACATCCATGATGTTTACACCAGCCGGCAAGCTTTTGTGATAAAGTTGACTGATTTGTGGAATTCTTGTGTTTGATACAGCTAGACTTACTAGGCCGGTATTTCTGTCAAATCCTGGGGGAACATGCTCTGCAATTTATACTGCCATATATCATTGACACTATGCCAAAGTCACCTGTGTGCAGTTTTGGCGATTTTCACCTCAGTGCATTTTCCATGTTGTTATTTGACACTTTACATGTGCCAAGGGTCTACACCAGATAGGTCAAAATTAAGTTTGATCTTTTATGTAACTAACTACACAAGTTTTTATTTGATCTCAACATTCAAACACAGTTCTCTCAAAACAAGGAGTTAGTGTTTAAGTGACTCTGGCATAGTGCCCAAGAAAAATTCTTGTTAGATCTCTCTCATATCTTTGTCTTGAGGTATAGAATGATCCTTGCCGATCTAGAAAGTCTTTTGACATCTCTGGATGGGCGGCTTCCTTCATAGCCACCCTACCAAAACCTCACTCATAAAGTTTGTCATTTCCATCTCTTCAAGTTCCAATTTTGCCATTTCTTAGCAAGTTAATCTGCCCTTTTGTGCATTGTGTTATGTAAAGCATGTGTGTTTTAAATGTTGTAATATTCTCATAGCTCAAGATGGAGCTAACCACTTTGTTTGATAGATCACACTGCTGGTGTTTGCTCATCTTCTCAGTTTTCTAAATCACCATTCGGCAATGATTATTGTATTACAATTTTTTAATTTGCCAGTAATCTCTCTGGTTTAACACCTTTTTTTTTTGGTTTATATTTTTTTGGGTACTTGTGTTGTGATTGACTAATAGAATTGTTAAGATAGTGATTTAGTTAGGTAAGTGCGAGACAAAATAGTTTAATGGCTATTTAAATGAAAAAAAAATTAACTTTTGATACCTGGTCTGGAATATCCTCTGACATATTTTTATTGTTTGTATATTGGAAAAAATAATACCAGAAGGCTGATCCACATGATGATGGGCACGGGATATAACAGTCCTTGAATGTGAAAGTATACGAGCTGACGAGAGACTGGATTTCTTTCAATCAGACCATGATGAAAACAGTATTCTGCAAAGGACCTGAAACATGATGATGATTTTATATATATATATATGTTAGGTTGTCTGAACTGTCCAATGTTAGGTTGTCTGAACTGTCCATATAGATAATCTTTCTTTGTTGCCTGGTATTATCCTACATAGGGCCAGTGTCTCTAATCCACCTCTTTTGTTGATGTACCTCATAAACTGCTTTCACATTTTCAGTGTAGATATGGTTTGTGATCTTGTAAGGGTTGCAAATCTCAGTTCCTCAGCATTTGTTTTGTTCTCTGTCCATCGTATTCTCAACATTCACTTTAAAAACCCCCATCTTGGCTTAAATCATTTTCAGTTACCACACTTTTGCAGGTTTGGATTTGTCACTCCTTGCATTTCATCTTGTTTTGGATTCGGTTTCGTATACTCAGGCTAGACCATCAGGTGGCTTTCCTTTGTGAACTTGCCCATCAGCTGCAGGGCCTTCATGGTTCCCCTTAGCCTGCTCTGCACACTTTGCTCTTGATGCCAGGTTTCTTGTCAAAGTTGTAGGTAGAGTGGGCAGGTCTGCAGAATGTGCTCAGATGTTTGTGGTCCTGTCTGACATGCATACTGTGGGGATTGTTCAGTCTTTATTTTATGCCTGTGATAGTTGAGCCTGCAGTGTCCTGTTCCTTAGACAGAAAGTTGTTGTTTGTGCTTTCTGCTAAGTCTGCTGATGGGGTCTTGTAGATTTTTTTTTTTTTTGTTGCTCTCTGCAATTCCTAATAGTTTTCTTGATAAGTGTTTTGATTTCTGGTAGTGACAATGAATAGGTGTGTTGTTTCTCATTTGTTCCATTTTTTTTTAAATGAATGTCCGCTAACTCATTTCCTGTTATGCCACAGTGAGCTGGGATCCACTGGAGAATGATTTAGTATTCTGAGTTCATTTAGCTGGCAGATCAGTTCTCTCTCTGTGTTATGTGTTATCTCATGAATTCCTGGGGGGGCTGACATGCAGTGACACAGGAAAACACTTTTGCTATTTTTAATAATTGCTTGCTGCTCTGCTCTGAAGTTTCTCAGAGGCAGCTGTCTCCATTGTGGTCCCATCTTGCAGGATGATGACTGAACCAGCCCCTCCATTTTTTGCTGCTCTCCCCAGTGATCCATCGGTGTATACGTGTATCCATTCGGGTTAAGGGTCTTTGCATGCAGTATTAGGAGAGGAATGGATACCAGCATCTAAAGTGCCCAATCTCACATTCTCCTATGTTGTGACGCTTGATAGTTGTCAAGAGCAGAATTTTGCTGCTGTCAACTCCAAGGTATGCGCGCTTATCAGTAACAAGTCAGAGGAGACGGGTACGTTGGATGGGTCCTTTATAAGAGGACATAAGATTGCATGGACATTTACAGCTTGCTCTTCAGGCAAAACTGATCAAGAAGCCAGTGGTTCCTTCTCCATGACTACCAGCATCATGACGATGGAGGTGCTGGCGGTGGCACAAGATTTCATGTGACTAAAATCACAGGACTATTCCCGCGCATGTGTGCTGAGTGGACTGAGTCGTCGCACAGTTACCTTCATATTTGTCACAGGAATGCAGATATTGTTGGTAATGAAAGAGCTGATAGACTGGTGGGTGCCGCATTAACTGAAGATGGCCGCCCCATGGATAAGGTAGACATTGTCAATGCCCTTAGAGAGATGGCGCGTTCTGAGGATTCTGGAAGCAACGTGTATCCTTAGCAACTGCTAAGGATATGAGAATTGGAAGTAAAGATCAGCACAGCCAAGCATGAGAAACACACAGTCTTGTCAACCAGCATAGAACTGGCACAATTAACCGTGCGTTGCTGATGAATATGTTGAGAGGGAATCTGAGCACCTACGTATGTGTCTGGAGTGCTGTGAAGATAATCGAACTCATAACCCATGCAGTATCAGTTCACATTTTTCAACCTTTTCTGTCTATGCCTGGGATTGTTAACTGTATAGTTAGGCTGTAGGTCTATGCTTTATGCCTGGATTATTTCCTATGTTAAAGGATCTTTAGAAAGGATGCCACTGTTTTTGATGCAGAACAGTCTTGATAGATGATGGAAGCTTCTTTTTAGTCAAATTTTTAGTTTGCTATTCTGTGCATGGGGTTGTTGTTCATGCAGTTACATTGTTCTGTCACTGTAAGCAAATCTTGTTCCCTACAATGGCTAAAACTCTTGAGGCCAGAAGGTGCAACCAGCTCATTGAATGGTGTGCTTCTCATACTTCAGTGATGATTCTGAAACCAGTGTTCTTTATTTTTCTAGTTTGTTTAGATGCTTCTTGCATTTCATTAAAATATTAGATATTTCATACATGCTTCTTGTTGAATATTTACAGTTGTATTCATTTTAATTTTATGCTGAAAATGCCATTGCTGTACCGTTTTTTGGACAACTGCATGTCTGTTGTGATGTTTCATTTGAAATAAATAAGTATGATCAGTAAATGTTGTTCAAATTTTTTTTTTTTTTTTTTATTACTCCAGTTGCTTGACAATCACTACAAGCGTAGTAATATGAATTAAATCATCATCAGGTGCCTTGCCGACTGGCGTGGGTGATCATGCTTCTCCACAGTCTGTGATCTCCTGCAGCATGTATGCTGACACACCTTCATGACATACGAAAAGACTTCTCTCTCATTGTCTTCCTATATCCCTCCTTCCACAGATCTTTCCAGTGGTCACAATGTGTTTCATTTTCCCTCTTCATGTAACATGGCTGAAAAATTATGTCTCCTGATATCTGTGATAAGTTGTCCTCGGGCTCTGGCCTCTTTCAGAACCTCTTGGTTGCTCTTTTTTGGCTGTTCAAGGTAATCTAAGCATTCTTCTGTAAAACCACATCTCTGAAATTGTTTGCCCTGCCTACTGATTGTCCAGAACTCACAGCCAAGCCATATGTCACACTGAATGTATGTAGCAAGCAAGAATTCTTTTAAATAAATACGGAACCATTAGTCTGCTGAGATACTGGAACTGGTTACAGCTGACAGTTGTACAAGTCACATCTTATCTGTAATAAGAAGCCAATTTTTTTCTCTACATTTATGTAATTGCTGCAAGTGTACAAGAGAAGTGCCTTTGTACATAAAAATTTTTTGTTTCGGTGTGACATGAGACCTGTTTCCTTGATACAGTTCTTTCCACTGTTACATACTGCTTTATTCTCCAATTTTCTTTAAATTTGGAGCAGTGTTTCCCAAACTGTTCTTATATCCTGTACCCATCTTTGTGTCGGTTGGCCCTGCTTCTCCTTTCTGGTGCCATGCCTTCTGCTA